CCCCACCAAACCATCCTGTGGAGGGCACAAAGCTGCATGGATGAGGCTTCAGCAGCTCAGCAGCTTAGTCATCACCAGCGCAATCAAGTAATCCGCAGTGCTGCGCTTTCCTCAGGAGCTCAACAAACTTGGCAAACGATATGTTGTGGCCACTTGTGCTCGGAGAACAAAACTGCTCAGTGTCTCGGGAGGTGAATCTGAGTTTCTGGGAGAGGACGCGCGCGACCAATCTCGGGCCGAGAACGCTGCGCTACCACGCCCGAACCACTTTTCCTCAACTCCTGGATGCCCTGGGACGCGTAAAAAAACAATGGATCGGCGCCCCTGAGGTCCCGATCCGTTGCAAAACCTGTTTCGGGTACGACAGGAAGCGCTACTGCTTGGGCCCTAGGTTGCTGATGCTGCCTGCTGGCGTCGTTCGCGGCTACTTGATGCTGTTCGGCGTTGCTTGCTGCTGGTTGGCTCTGGGCGATTTTGCGTACTGCTGCGTGCTGCTGCGTGCTGCTCATTCCAGAACTCATTCTCCTCCTCCTCCGCCCCCTCCTTCTCCTGTTCTTCGCTCCGCCTCCTCAGCCTCTTGGGGCCATCTTCAGCAAGCATACACCACTCTTGGAGCCCAAGAGGCAAGCTTTGCCAAACACCTCCTTGGAATTCCTGTTTTGACGCATACCTCACGCGAAAATGCCATTATGGGATCGCCTAGGGATCCTCCTGAGGCCTCCCTTTGCCTTTCTGGAGGCACTATTGAAGCCTTCCTGAGCAATATCAGACCCTCTCGAGCCACAGAGCGGGTTTTTAAAAAACAACCACCTCGAAACCTGAATGTTGGCAGGATGCCTCGCACGAAACGGCCGCCTCGAGAAGGACTACATTCAAGGGGTGCCTGTTCGGCGATGGCGACCGGCTCCCGCTCAAGCTCCCCCCTCCTCTCTTTACCCCAGAACGAGAATCGTATCGCGCTGCCCGTCATACAACGGATCCGCGCTCCCGAGGCCACGATCCCCTGTAAAACATGCACCCGCGCTCCCAAGGCCACGAGCCCTCGAGAACAAAAGATAGATCCACGCTCCCCGAGCCACGAAGCCCTTCACAACATCATCATCTTCATCATCATCATCAGCAGCAGCATCAGCATCATCATCATCATCATCACCACCACCACCACCACCATCATCATCATCATCATCATCATCATCATCACCATCACCACCACCATGACTCATCATCGTCATCATCATGATCATCATCATCATCATCATCATCATCATCATCATCATCACCATCATCATCATCATCATCATCATCATCATCATCATCATCATCATCATCATCATCATCATCATCATCATCATCATCATGACTCATCATCACCATCATCATCATCATCATCGTCGTCATCATCATCATCATCATCAGCAGCAGCAGTATCATCATCACCACCACCACCACCATCATCATCATCATCATCATCACCATCACCATCACCATGACTCATCATCATCATCATCATCATCACCATCACCATCACCATCACCATGACTCATCATCATCATCACCATCATCATCATCATCATCATAATCGTCATCATCAACATCAGAATCATCATCATCATCATCATCATCATCATCATCGTCGTGATCACGATCATCATCATCATCATATCATCCTAAACGTCATCATCATAAACATCATCATCATAGTCATCATCATCATCATCATCATGATCACCACCACCATAATCATCATCATCATCATCAGCATCATCATCATCATCATCTTCATTATCATCATCAGTGACATAATCAATCAGCCTCCTCATCCTCGTCAACATCATCATCGTGGTCGTCATCATCGTCATCGTCGTCACCATCATCACCAACAGCATAATCACAGTCACCATCATCATCATCATCATCATCATCACCATCAGCTGCAGCAGCATCGTCACCGTCATCGTCAGCACTATCAGTATCCTCATCAACATCGTGATCATGAGCATCATGATCATCAACATCATCAGCAGCAGCAGCAACATCATCGTCCTCATCAGCAGCGGCGTCATCATCAGCCGAATGGTCATCAACAGCATCATCATCATCATCGTAAGCATCAGCATCATCAGCACCATCATCATCATCACCATCATCATCAGCATCAGCAACATCATCAGCATCATCATGAGCAGCAGCAGCGTCACCATCGTCATCACCAGCATCATCAGCAGCAGCAGCATCATCAGCATCATCATCACCAGCATGCTCAACATCAGCATCATCATCAACAGCAGTATCATCACAATCCGAATCATCATCATCATCATCATCATCATCATCATCATCGTCATCATCATCATCATCATCATCATCATCATCATCATCATCATCATCATCATTACCATCATCATCATCATCAGCAGCATCATCATCATCATCATCATCATCTGCATCATCATCATCATCAGCATCATCATCATCATCAGCATCATCATCATCGTCATCATCGTCAGCAGTATCATCAGCAGCAGCATCATCAACACCATCAGCATCATCATTATAAGCATGGTCATCGTCATCCTTATCAGCATCATCATCATCCTCAGTACCATCATCGTCATTACCATCACTATCATCACAAACATCATCATCACCATCATCACCATCAGCATCATCAACATCATCATCCGCATCAGCATCAGCATTATCAGTATCATCGGCATCATCATCATCATCATCCTCAGAATCATCATCATCATCATCATCATCATCATCAACATCATCATCATCATCATCATCA